TTGGATCTGGAGCAGGTGGACCCACCCATGCAGGTGAGTTCCCCCAACATCAGACCCGCTTAATCAACTCAGATCATCAATCCTGATGCAAACTTCTGTTGTTAAAGTTGGAATCCTCCAGAAAAACCAACAATAATCTGATATTACAGATGTGGGGTTGGAGCTCGCTCACACACACACACACACACACACACACACACACACGTTATTTTTGGCATAAGGATGCTTTAATTATTCTGCAGATGAAGGAATATTTTTCGATTTGAAGCATCTGTCTCTAAAATCTGAGCTGACAGGAAGAGCAGATAAATGTGCTCCTAAAAACAGGTTTTATTGATTTTCAGAGCTGCTTTTTGCCTCCATTTAAAGGTTAAAGATTGTAAATGCAGCTCAAGAAGATAATTATGAGGAAGTCCGCCCACCAGCATGTAAACTGGACCTTTCATGCATATTGAAAGATTCACGCTGTGTGGCCTTCAGCCAAAGCGAGTGCTGCTCATCAAGCCAGAGGTCAGCTCGTCGTCGTCTCACACAAATGTAAATTGGTTTGAGAGATTTTTCAAACAGTTTTCACGAGTAAAGAGTTTCTTCCACAGAGCTTCACCTGACAGGACGGAAGAGCGCGCGGAGCTGCTGTTGCTGCAGATGTGTGTGGGCAGCAGCCGCGCACCGGCGGTTGGACACAAACCGAAAGTTGGCAGCTCTCCAGGTGGATGGAGGCTGAGCGACGCCTCGATGCTCTGAAGTATCGATCCAGAAAGGTGAAGGCGCCCGCGGGCCTGGGGCTCTTTGGAGAATTCCTGCAGAAACATGCATGTTCCTGCATTCCTTATCGTCTGAGTGGAGGAATCAGTCGCTGGTGTGAGGCTTCGTGCAAAACGATGAAACTCCTCATAATCTGTGTTGTTCTGGAACGGCTAGCTGGATGCTAGCATAAATATCAGACTCAGCAGATTAAATGCAAACACCTTTACGCTTTCACCACGCACCCGCGTGCCGTGGAAAGGAGGGGTCAGCGTTGGCTGATGCTGAGAGGCTTGGCAGCAGAACTTCTCGATAGGATGCAGGTGAAACAGCTGATTGGATGTCTGTGGCTCAGGTAGACGTCCGGAGCATGGAGGAGGGTTGGTGCCGGTAGGACTTGGCACCGTGACTTCCCTCAGAGGTTTCTGGTTCTGGTTGTTTGACCGGGGCTCAGGACCAGCTGTGCCGTTCTCCCAGTTCTCAGGTATTTATCTGACAGGAAGTCTGGTTGAAATGAGTCTCCGCCCACGCCTTGACTCCCACTTTAAGCTCCCGCTTGCAAATTTCCACGTTAACGAAAATCCGCTTGCATCGGAGTGTGGGAGCAGCTTCCTCGTGATGATTCAGCAGGAGAAGAACCTCCTGGTTTAAATAACTACGTTCAGGAAGCTTGTTGCTGTTGTAGTTTATTCATCTCTGTTAGAATAAATGAGTATTTCTGGGATTACCTGCCAGTCGGCCGCGTGCCCGAGCCGCCGAGGAGATGCGTATAAATTAAGATTAACAGTGAAATGTTGAGTTCTAGAAAGCGAGCGTTAAAATGGTGCAGGTAATCCTTTTGTGCTTGTGGGATTGTGATGCGTACGTCTAAATCAACAGTGCCACTAACACAAGTTCAGTAGTTCAGTAATGTGTAATCTAATTACTTTCTTCTTACCTCATAACGCCGTTTCTGATGATGCGTTCGCTACTATAATTTAGCAGGGAGGTGTGTCTACTGTCATCAGCTGATCTGGAGCTAGAGTGGTTGTTTACATCCAAGCCCAACTCGGCCAATGAGCAACGAGTAGGCGTGACCGGCTGCTGACCTGGAGATTTTATCATAAACAACTGGACGAGAATTCCTACGTTCGTCTTTTTAGTCGTTAAAGTTTCAGTATCGTCGTAACTCGTAGTAAATGGAGTCGGTTCCTTTAGGAGCGGGTCCCATTTGTCTGGATATGTAATGAAAAAGGTAACTAAAGTTACTTTTCCTGGTAATTTGTTACTTTTATTATCTTGTAACCTACTCACTTAAAATAATTAGTAACTATAGCTAATTACTTTTTAAAGTAACTTTTCCAACTCAGTAGAAGCTTGTTGCCGCCAACCTTTCAAAATAAAATCCAGTCATCTCACACAGGGAACAAGGTTAATGAGCTGGACGACGAGAACTTCCACAGCTGAACATGATTTATTATCTCGATGTCAAAACTTCTCATTTAAACAAGAAAAGTCCAGAGTTAAAGTTTATGGTTTGAACTTTAAAACGTGGACTACGTTTGTTGTCGCTGCACCAGCGTCCCGGTACGGCAAGATGGAGGTTTCAGAACAACCCGTCAGGCTCAAACCAGCAAGCAGGTCCCGAGCACAGCCGTGTCTGCAGCTCACCGCCGTGCTCGGGGGTGGGCCACGTGCACAGGCCAGTTTTCACCACACCAGGGTGTCTGGTTGCTGTGGGACTTTATGGTGCTCCCATTTATACAGGCGTGGGACAAGATAACAGCGGGGGGGGGGGGGGGGGGGGATGAGGGAGAAAAGCATGTCCCTCCTTTATTTTGAAAGGTCTTGTTGTTAGGAAACAGCGACCGTAAATCCTGAACCTGCCCAGAGGCCAGTGACCTGGGCCGGATCACCGCGTGTCTGAGAGGAAGAAAAGGTCAAGTGTGCAGAATCTGATGGAACTTTGCTTTCCATAGGAGGAATAATGTAAACGTGAACAGCCTTCACTTTTCTGTCCTCGTAAACGAAACACTGGTTGTGTTTATTAAATGTGATTCATTTTGATGTGGCCGACGGTGGCACGGGAGCTAGGTGCTTGGCCGCAATCAGAAGGTTGCAGGTTCGAGCCCCCTCAGTCATTGTGCCCTTGGGCAGGACACCTAACCCTTTGCTGTCTGCATACATGTAAGTATAAGTAGTGTGTACTCATGCTGGTTTATACTTATTTATGTATTTACTCGACCCTCCTGGACAGGTCACCCGTCCATCCCAGAGACACTTCAGCCATGTGGAAGGGACCTGGAGCACCGGAGAAGTCCCGCGCAATCACGGAGAGAGCACGGGAACGGCACGCGTGACGCCCCAGCTGCATCAGCGTGAGCGTGCATATGTGTTCTCTAACCCTAGATTACAGATTACAGATTACAGCAGGGTCCTCCACTTTGAACTGTGTTTAGCGGTTATTTTTACTGCAGATCGTGCATTTAGACTCGTGTCTCTAGTCGGCCGTGAACTAAAGCTGCTTCTACCGAGCAGCCTGAAGCCGCTCCGCGCTGCAAACTGATGAATGTTTACATCAAACGCTGGCAGGCGGAGTGGGCGTGGACCGGAGAGCAGAGAGCACAACCATCTGGTTAAGTTTCACCGCTCATCTTCTGTTCAAGGTTTCACAGTAATTATGGAGGTTTCTCCAGCTGCTGCCCTTAAACCACACACACACACACACACACACACGCACACACACACACACACACACACACACACACACACACACACACACACACACACACACACACACGAGAGGAAGAAGCTAGAAGTTGTTTTGGTGCTTTGAAAATCGCTCTCTGAATTTAGTTTAGTCGTTTTTTATCTGAAAACTTGTTTTCCATCGTCTTGCTGTGATGAAGTGTTATTATCATTATTATTATCATTATCATTATTATTATCATTATCATTATTATTATCATTATCATTATTATTATAATAATAATTATTATTATTTTATCATTATTATTATCATTATTATTATTATTAGCATTATTATTATTATCATGATTTTCATTATTATTTTCATTATTATTGTTATTATCATTATTGTTATCATTATCGTTATCATTATTATCATTATTATTATCATTATTATTATAATTATTATCATTATTATTTTTATTTTTATTATTATTATTATCATCATTATTATTATTATCATTATTGTTATTATCATTATCGTTATTATCATTATTATTATCATTGTCGTTATTGTTATTATTATTATCATCATTATTATTATCATTATCGTTATCATTATTATTATCATTGTCATTATTGTTATTATTATTATCATCATTATTATTATCATTATTGTTATTATCATTATTATTATCATTGTCATTATTGTTATTATTATTATCATTATTATTATCATTTTTTTTCATTACTATTATTATTATCATTATTATTATTATCATTATTATTATTATCATCATTATTATTATTATATATAATTATAATAATCATTAATATTACTATTAATATAATTCTAAAAATTATATTTTATATTGTCATTATTATTAACTATAGTGTATATTAATATTATCATTATTATAAATGCTTTATTATTAATATTACTATTGATATTAATATGTTGTTATTATGAATATTAATAATATTTTTTATAAATTTTTATTATTATCAATATTATTATTATTAATATAATATTATATTATTTTTAATATAATCATTATTATTGTTATTATAATAGTAAATTGTGAGGTAAAAATACAACTTTTATTTATTTGTTATTAGCACATCATTCTCCTCACTGGTCTGTTTTATATAAGTGTACCGGACCGGTTCTGTTACAGCTCTGGTGGGTAGTCGTTGCCGGTTCTGGTGACCCGTTCAGTTTCATGAATATTTTAGTTATTTGACCATGTTGACTGAATCTTTCCTCGTTTTCTCAGGATTCTGGCTCATCTTGGAATGTCGGCAGTCTTCCGAGTCAGCTGCTCATTTACATATTGGCTGGTACCTCGCAGCCTTTTACCTCGCTTAAGCGCTGACATTTTTGTTCACGACTCACTTTTCTGTAAAACATCTTTAATCCGAGAATAAACTAGACGATGAAATTAGCAGGACAGCAGTGGTCACAACCTAAATATGGTTTGTTCCAAAAATATATTAAAATAAATTAATTCTGATGTTTTTTACTGAGCTGAATACGATCACGTTTAATCTGATTCTTATTATTCAACAGAAGGAGAAGAAGCGGGTCGTTGAATCTGGACAAACAACTTTATTTCTGGTAATGCATCTATACACATCTGTACATTCAGTCACCGCAGTATACAAGCATCGCTACTCTCATAAAGTCCTTTACTTTACAACGGAGGCCGTGTCGCCGGAGCGGGACAAGAAACAACGGATGAACCGGCCAAGCGTCTTTATACTTTATATGTGGCGCTAATAACGGGAAAGCTCGGCTTGTACGTAAAAATATTCCTAGAGTAGTTATAGTTTAGCAGCAGCACAGGGCTAGACGATACATGAGGGTGGGGGGGTGGTATACGACACCCAGAATAAAAACCCATAAATGAGGAACAAAACACCTTCATAGAAACTCTACAGTAGAAAACAAAAGGCTATGATAACATGCTTATGAAGGGAACGCGCGCCGCGTCGACATCTCAGTTCAAACTTAAAAAACAACGTGAACCCAAAGAGCTTCGGTAAGAAAAGATTCTCTCCCAAAGGAAACACCTCGTACATTTATTATACAATATTTAAGACGGTATTTACACGTGTAAATTCTGCACACCGGCTAGTATTCTGACTGTTCGTGGTGACGGTTATTGCTGCGTCACCGCCGTCCGTTAGCAAAAGGATTTTCTTTAGAAAACCGCCAAATTTATTGTTTTGTAGAAAAAACGACACACCGGCTAGTGGGCGTGTAAAAACCATTAGAAAATGTACCAATCGGAGTCGGCCAAAGGGGCGGACGTGAAGTCGTTCTCATGGCAACGCCAGGCGTCTTCATCATCAGCGAGCCGGGAGTAAACGGTAAGTCTTTCTGTACAAATCCGTAACGGTTCACCAAATCCGGGTTCTTAGAAAACATGCAGAAGACACACAAAAGCGCCGTTTGTCCAAATGTTCTCTGCAGCCACCGAGTCAACATTTGTAAACTGGAATACTAATAAAGTAGTAGAGGGACTTTTAATTTGAAAACTGCAAACAGGAAGCTGATGAGACGCCATGACGGCTTCATCCTCGGCCTTTTCTGGAAACCTTTCGCCCACTTCCAGGCACTTGAGGTTTTCCAGCATTGCATTGTTCTTTTGGACGACGATGCGTCCCTCTGCTGAAGACGACTTGCTCGTGTCGCGTTACACAATAAAAGCCTCGCACGCAACAACCGACTATATGAGTAGCAAACGCTGGGAGGTCATGCATAAACAAAACCGCGTGAACAGAACAAGCAAGAAAACATCATCTCTACGTGTGAAAACGTCGTTTTTGTTCCTGTAACGGGTGCAGGAACCGAGCTGGACGTCCTCTTCCTGTTTACAACACTAAAAACTTTATTCGTTGGTTTGTAATCAACAAAATGCTCTGACGTTCAATGGCCGCAGTCGTGGGGAGAACACCAGTGGGACTAAAATGCTTTATACCAGTATGTTAGGACAAAGTGCGATTTATCATAAGTACAAAACATTTATATTTACAAACCTTAAGTTATTAACATTTTGCGTCCGTTTGTCCGTCCAGCCCACTAAAAAAACGCCGTCGTGTTAGAAAACAAGGCCACACTCGTAACTGGAGTCCAGGGTTTAGGAAAAGTTTTACCCAAATCTTTATTTATAAAAGAGAAGAAACAAACCAGATTATCCCGTAGAAGTGCTCACTACTAATCACTCACTCCATGATTTTTCCTCTGAAAAAACAAAATTCATGTTTAAACGCAACGAGAGACTTTTCCATAGGCTCCACCTCCTGTGTCGTCACGCCTCCTAACAGGAACATCTTCTGTACACGTCTCCATGCAGTCCCTTAAGTAGCTTATTAAGTCTAAGACGTCCTCCCGGCTGATCCACTGTACATGGATCACATCCTCTGTGATCTAGCAGGATCTGGTACCAGAGTTCTGAGTGGGTTTGTAGACTCGGGATCCTGCAGAAGGATGCAGATCTTTACTCCATCTGTCTGTTTTTCATACTTCTGTGTGTTTTGTGGGTTGTGACAGACGGCGGTGCCTCGTGTCCTGGACTGGGCTGACAGCGAGTGATGGCGGTGGTGATGAGGTGGAATGGTTGGATGGGGAGTCCAGCTGCTGGTTTATTTGTCAGCAGCCTTGTCCTTGTTGCTGGATTTGGGCCAAAGTTGTTGCTGTAGCTCCTTCACCACCCTCTCCAGGTGTTCCCGGGCCTCCCGCTCCTGCAGCAGGTCGGCTCTGAGCTGCTCACGGTCGGCCTCGGCGTGCTGCAGCTTCATCTGCAGGTCTTCGATCTGGAAAACAAGAGGTGGGAGTCAGAACTTTATCATGTAGGAAACTTTCTAAATGGTCATTCACAATTCACTCATTCGATTTTGACTTGAGAGTTACAAATGATATTCTCATGGCCTCAGATGAGAATCTTGTGTCTGTTCTAGTCTTGTTAGAGCTCAGTGCTGCCGTTGACACAGTTGATCACAATGTTCTTTTAGAAAGACTTGAACATGTTGTAGGGATCAAAGGAACAGTGCTAGGCTGTAAAATGTAAATGTACATGACAAATCTTCATACTCCAGGGTTACTTGTGGAGTACCACAGGGTTCGGTGCTTGGGCCAATAATTTTTACTAATTACAGGTCCTTCTCGAAAAATTAGCATATTGTGATAAAGTTCATTATTGTCTGTAATGTACTGATGAACATTAGATTTTCATATATATTAGATTCATTACACACAACTGAAGTAGTTCAAGCCTTTTATTGTTTCTAATATTGATGATTGTGGCGTACAGCTCATGAAAACCCAAAACTCCTATCTCAAATAATTAGCATATTTCATCCGACCAATAAAAGAAAAATGTTTTTAATACAAAAAAAGTCAACCTTCATATAATTATGTTCAGTTATGTACTCAGTACTTGGTCGGGAATCCTTTAGCAGAAATGACTGCTTCAATGCGGCGTGGCATGGAGGCAATCAGCCTGTGGCACTGCTGAGGTGTTATGGAGGCCCAGGATGCTTCGATAGCGGCCTGAAGCTCATCCAGAGTGTTGGGTCTTGCGTCTCTCAACTTTCTCTTCACAACATCCCACAGGTTCTCTACGGGGTTCAGGTCAGGAGAGTTGGCAGGCCAGTTGAGCACAGTAATACCATGGTCAGTAAACCATTTAGCAGTGGTGTTGGCACTGTGAGCAGGTGCCAGGTCGTGCTGAAAAATGAAATCTTCATCTCCATAAAGCTTTTCAGCAGATGGAAGCATGAAGTGCTCCAACATCTCCTGATAGCTAGCTGCATTGACCCTGCCCTTGATAAAACACAGTGGACCAACACAAGCAGCTGGCATGGCGCCCCAGACCATCACTGACTGTGGGTACTTGACACTGGACTTCAGGCATGTTGGCATTTCCCTCTGCCCAGTCTTCCTCCAGAATCTGGCATCTTGATTTCTGAATGACGTGCAAAACTTGCTTTCATCTGAAAAAAGTACTTTGGACCACTGAGCACCAGTCAAGTGCTGCTTCTCTGTAGCCCAGGTCAGGCGCTTCTGCCGCTGTTTCTGGTTCAAAAGTGGCTTGACCTGGGGAATGCGGCACCTGTAGCCCATTTCCTGCACACGCCTGTACACGGTGGCTCTGGATGTTTCTACTCCAGACTCAGTCCACTGCTTCCGCAGGTCCCCCAAGGTCTGGAATTGGTCCTTCTCCACAATCTTCCTCAGGGTCCGGTCACCTCTTCTGGTTGTGTAGCGTTTTCTGCCACACTTTTTCCTTCCCACAGACATCCCACCGAGGTGCCTTGATACAGCACTCTGGGAACAGCCTCTTCATTCAGAAATGTCTTTCTGTGTCTTACCCTCTTGCTTGAGGGTGTCAATGATGGCCTTGTGGACAGCAGTCAGGTCAGCAGTCTTACCCATGATTGTGGTTTTGAGTAATGAACCAGGCTGGAAGTTTTTAAAAGCCTCAGGAGTCTTTTGC